GTCCTGAAGTCTGTGCTATGTCTGAAGACACAGGGTCTCCTGCGTCTATGCCAGGACAGAGGAGAAGCGAAGCCTTTCTGAAGGGACTGTCGCCAGCCAAGCTGCAATCCTTGGAAACACTAAAAACACCCAGGTGTGGTGGCTCAGGCCTGTAATCCCAGCACTTCGGGAGGAAGAGGCGGGTGGATCCCCTGAGGTCGGGAGTTCAAGATCAGCCTGACCAACGTGGAGAAACCCCTTTCCCTACTAAAAATACAAAATTAGGCCGGGCTGGGTGGCTCACACCTGTAATCCCAGCACTTTGGGAGGCCCAGGCAGGAAAATCCCTTGGGGCCAGGAGTTCAAGACCAGCATGGGCAACACAAAAAGACCTTGTCTACAAAAAAAAATAAAATAAAATAAGCCAAGCATGGTGATGTGTGCCTGTAGTCCTAGCTACACGGGAGGCTGAGGCAGGAGAACTGCCTGAGCCCAGGAGGTCAATGCTGCAATGAGCCATGACTGTGGCATTGCACTCCAGCCTAGGAGAGAGTGAGATACTATGTCAAAAAAATATGTTTTTGGTTTTTTCTTTCAAAAAAGATTGCAAGACACATAAGAAAGACAAAAACAAATGTAGACAGAGCATTCTGTGACCCCAAACCGAGGAACACAGAGGTGGAGAAGGGAGGCTGCAGGCAGCAAGTATAGGAGGAGCTGGGCAGCGCCTGCGGCACAGCACCAGTTCCGGGGGCAGAGAGAGGCAGGGCCACCCAGAAGACACACCCTACTCTGGCTCTGGACCAGCACCGTGGCTAGGAGAAGAAAGGCTTCTCTTTCTTACAGATCTGCTAAATTCATTATAACCCCAGACAAGGTATAAAAACAAGTTTGGGCCGGGCGCAGTGGCTCACGCCTGCAATCCCAGCACTTTGGGAGGCCGAGGCGGGTGGATCACGAGGTCAGGAGATGGAGACGATCCTGGCTAACACAGGACGCTGAGACAGAAGAATGGCGTGAACCCAGGAAGCAGAGCTTGCAGTGAGCTGAGATCGCACAACTGCACTCCAGCCTGGGCGACAGAGCGAGACTCATCTCAAAAGAAAAAAAAGTATAAAAACAAGAAAGAGTTAACCAAACACACAGTACTGATGAAATATGACCAAGGGGCTTCCTAATAAATATCTAAAAGAATTTGATCAATAAAATGTACACATTTTCATTTTCCAGTACATTTTAAATGCTCAGTAACTTTTTTTTTTTTTTTTTTTTTTTTTTGAGACGGAGTCTCGCTCTGTCACCCAGGCTGGAGTGCAGTGGCCGGATCTTGGCTCACTGCAAGCTCCGCCTCCCGGGTTCTCGCCATTCAATTTTTTTTTTTTTTTTTTGAGACGGAGTCTCGCTGTCACCCAAAATAGTGCAGTGGCTGATCTGGCTCACTGCAAGCTCCGCCTCCTGGAAGTTCTCGCTATCTCCCCTCAGCCTCCCAGCAGCTGGACTGCTGGGACGCTCGCCACCTCGCCTCCTTCCGGCTATTTTTTTTTGCATTTTTACTTAGAGACTGGGGGTTTCTGGTTAGCCAAGAGATGGTCTTGATCTCCTGACCTCGTGATCCACCCGTCTCGGCCTCCCAAAGTGCTGGGATTACAGGCTTGAGCCACCGCGCCCGGCCAACATTTTTAGCAGATATAGTTTAATAAACTGAACATTAAGAAAACTTCAGGCGGTGCCTCACGTCTGTAACCCCAGCATTCTGGGAGGCCGAGGCAGGCAGATCACCTGAGGTCAAAAGCTGGAGACCAGCCAGCCCAACATGGCAAAACCCTGTCTCTACTAAAAATACAAAAAAAACAGCCAGGCATCATGGAGGGCACCTGTAATCCTAGCTATTTGGGAGGCTGAGGCAGGAGAGTCGCTTGAACCCGGGAGGCGGACGTTGCTGTAAGCCAAGATCGCGCCACTGCACTCCAACCTGGGAGACAAGAGCAAAACTCCTCAAAAAAAAAAAAAACTTCAAATACTATCAAGTATTACCGACATACAAAATCTCTCAGACACATAGAAATCACCCTTTGAATCCCTCCTAGAAGCTCAGCCTAAGAGAATGACTTTTAAAGTCGCATTTATGAAATATTCCACTGCAGCTTTGGGTATCATAGCAAAAGCTTAGAACAGCTACATGCGCACAACAAAGAAGAGATTAAGTCAGCCGGGGCATAGACACTCAATGAAATATTATACAGTCCTTAAAAACAGATATAAAAACTATGGAAACATGGTTACAAAATTAAAGCAAGTGGTGTATCTGGGTTAAGGGGATGTGGAAATTTTCTGTACTCTTCCAGCAACTTTTCTATAAGCTTGAAATTACATCTAATTGAAAAGTGAAATATATATATATATGAAAGAATACAAAATTGTTACAGATGCTAACATTGCAAAAGTGTTACAGGCACGGCTACAGAAGAGACTAACAAGAAAACCACAACATGAGAATCATGGTCATTAAAATATTGGGATTATGGATTTTTCTTTTATGATAATTTTTTTGTTGGAGGCAGGGAAGCAAGGTCTTGCTCTGTTGTCCAGGCTGGAGTGCAGTGGCGCAATCGATCATAGTTCAATACAGCCTCAAACTTCTGGGCTCAAGCAGTCCTCTGGTCTCAGCTTCCCAATGTGCTGATTACAAATTTGAGCCATCGAGTCCAGCTATGACACAAATCCAAGCTAAACATAACGTGAAGCCTAAGGTTCCCAGCTCTGTAGAAGGTGGGCTGCAGCCCTGAGGGTGGAGAAACGTTCTCATGTGTCTGAGAAGCTGGCTGAGCAGCCGAAGCAAGCACCAGACTTTGGCTTCCCTGGAGCATGGAACCCTCTGGACGCACAGGCTCACAAAGAACAAACTAAAGTCTTGAATTAAGACTCAGTGGGAAGAAAGTTATAATCACCAGGCTCGGGGCCAGCAAGAACCGTAATGGGCCTGGGCTGTCCTCGCAAGGCCGGCCAGCCATGGGCATACCTGGACACAGCACAGGGCCTCCAAGGCTGCCCTGGACTGCAGAACAGCAGGCCTGCACTGAGCTGTAGCGACCCACACAAGGGAAGGGAGGCAGGAGGAGCCGGCACTTCACACTGCACCGTCCCAGGCACCACAGCGTGGCTGCAAATTAACCTGGCCGCTCCCATAAGCCGCCATCAGTGTTCCACAGGTGGGGGCGGGGAGAGCACCACCTGTCTCTGCCACGCCATCCCCCCCCACCCCTGTCCCACCACCACGTGCAGCAGATCAACACGGGCGTAAGTTCATCTGTGGGCCGAGCCCCCAAGCACAGCTCAAGGACACAGCAGGAGGGGAGTACAGGACAGTGGCAAACTCTGGCCTCCAGCAAGGTGGACTTCAGCTGCGTCTCCACCAGAGGCAGGGGCCAGCCCAGACCCGGTTTCCCAGCTCAGATGGAGAGCAGCACCTATGGAGGTGCAGAGCTAGAGGCCAACCAGGGAAAAGCACACATGACGCGCTTCCATTTCAGCAGAGATTCAAGGGAACATATTGCTTTATGAAAAACTGACAAGTGAGCCACTGAGTAAAATCTCATACATGAACAAATTTTGTTTTTAGTTGTATTCATATATTTATGACTAAGAGTCTCACTCTGTTGTCCAGGCTGAGTGCAGTGAAGTAATCACAGCTCACTGGAGCCTTGACCTCCCAGGCTCACATGATCCTCCTGTCTCAGCCTCCCATGTAGCTGGATTACAGGTACACACCACCATACCCAGCTACTTTTTAAATTTTTTTTTTTTTTTTTGAGATGGAGTCTCACCCTGTCGCCCAGGCTGGAGTGCAGTGGTGCAATCTCGGCTCACTGCAAGCTCCGCCTTCCTGGTTCACGCCATTCTCCTGCCTCAGCCTCCCCGAGTAGCTGGGACTACAGGCGCCCACCACCACACCCTGCTAATTTTTTGTATTTTTAGTAGAGACAGGGTTTCACCGTGTTAACCAGGATGGTCTCGACCACTTGACCTCGTGATCTGCCGCCTCAGCCTCCCAAAGTGCTAGGATTACAGGTGTGAGACACCGCACCTGGTCAAGCAAGGATTTTACAGAAGAAATGAGCTTGGGAAGCTGGAAGCTTCCAAAGACTCGGGGTTAGTGCAATGAGAAACAGTCTTTCAGCCTCAGGGGGATGCCACTGTTCTCTATACATCTGATATTTGAATAATTGCAACTAGATTACTTAAACACGTCTTGGCTCCTAAGGTGGTTCCTTTTTCCCCCTACAAACCTGCTGCAGAAGACTAAAATCCAAAATATATCACCTGAGTAGATAGATCCAAAAGATTAGTCAGTCATTAGTTACTAAATAGTCTCTGTCTAAGCCTTTTGCACTTGAACTAGTCCTGGGCCTCAAAGAGACAGAGCTGTTCTAAGTGCAAAATCAGAACGCCCGCTCTGCCACTCGCTCACAGTCCGTCCCTGGGCGCATTACCTCAGCTCTCTGTGACTCAGATTCCTCATCTGAAAGTCAGGGAGCCGGAGGGCTGACCTCCCAAGCTTGCTATGAGGATTTATTGAGTTCACCTACCTACAAGATTCACCTGCGCAGGCCTTGAAGCCGGCTGGAAGCACTTTCACAATGAAGTAACACCGAAGACACACACATAAAGTTTCTCAACCAATGGTCATTGGATCATAAAATAAGCCTTTCAAAGCCAAATGAAGTGTGTCCCCTTTTCCAAATGCCTTAAATATCTACTGGATTAGAAGGCCCAACTATAACTTTCAGGACAAAACTCTATAGAAAGGCTGAGATCCCTCACACACAGGAGATAAATCAGGCCGGGCACAATGGCTAACACCTGTAATCCCAGCACTTTGGCAGGACAAGGTGGGAGGATCACTTGAGGCCAGCCTGGCCAACATAGTGAAACCTCATCTCTAATAAAAATACAAAAAAATTAGCTGGGTGTGGTGGCGGCCACTCGTAATCTCAGCTACTCGGGAGGCTGAGACAGAAGAATCGTTTGAACCCAGGAGGTGGAAGTTGCAGTGGGCAGAGATCGCGCCAGCCTGGGCGACAAAAGCGAAACTCCGACTCAAAAACAAAAGGGAAATGAGGGTGCCTCCTATGGTCAAGAGGCTGTCCCGCAGATGAACAGTGCAGCCAGCAAGAGAAAGGATCCCGAACAAAAAGCTAAGCTACCTTTGAATGGCAGGGTGTGCTCTGGAGCCTGGGAATGCAGTGGACAGGCACAGCCAGCACCCGCACGCTCTCACGCATGGCAAGCAGGAACTGCTCTCTCCAGGGCCCCAACCAAAGTTGTGGGAGGCTGCTACAATCCAACCAGCTCATCTCCAAAGGGATACTGCCCTCAGGTCAGCTGTGCTCACTGGCAAAGAACATTCTGGTAAAAACCTCCTCTCACCCCAGGAAACTCCACAAAGCTAGGCCCAGTACAGAAAACCAGGCGGAGGCAGGGGGTGTTAGGGAGGGAACGCCACTACCTTCCTCCACCCCCCAGGCTGCCACTACCAAGGACAACTGTGGTGAAGCAGCAGAACCAATGGCCCCGTCGGGTTCCAGGCTTACAGCTTACCTGTGGATAAGCCACCCCTCTCCGACCCATCAAGACTCTTTTATAAAATGAGGCTAATGACATGGGATGAGGGAATGACACCGGATTCTTGCTGTGCTCCTACCAGCAACCCACGTCCGAAGGCTCTGCCCACACTGGTCCGTGACCACAGGCAGACGGGGAGCTGGCCCACAGCAGGCAAGTGGTCGCCAATGCTCTCTCGCGGTGCAACTCAGCAAAACGCAGCTCACCCCAACCAGCACGGAAGCCCCGGCAACAGGTGAGGGCCGGAGGAAAGCTGTTTCTATTTCTTCACGAGGGGAGGGAGGAGCAGTGGGTGGGTGAGCTTCAACGGCAGCTGCTCAATCTCTCCTCCCACAGCCATCTCCACTGGCCTCCCAAGGAGCCTCTCACCTACCCAGGGCACACAGAGGGCAACGAGGCGGGAACTGCTAACTGACTGAAGTCTAGTCCTCAGGCTCAACTGGGCTGCCAGTCTCAGGAGGCGCCAGGTCTCAATTTCACTAACCCACATCTTCAGCATTGTCTTTGTATATTTGTCACACAAACATATGATGAAACAGGGAAGTACAAGATTTCTCTGCAAGGAAGTTTTGTTCACTTTCTGCACTCTGGAACTTCCTACAGGTATACTTTAAACACCACTGATCAACATGAACCCCAGGATGCGAGTTACCTCTGAACGGGAGGGGCCAGAAACTGCAATCTGAAGGGCCACTCAAGCCTTCTGGTAAATCCTGTTTTTCAAGTAGGGTAGTGGGCACATGTGAGTTTAATTTTCATTCTTTAAACTCTGCATATATCTTCTGTGTGCCACTTATAGGTATAACTTTAAATGCTATTGTTTAAAATAAATAAAATGCCATTTTTCTCTGCTAAAAAAAATTGTTTTTATTAAGTGCTTGCTGTTTGCCACACAGTCTTCTGAGCATTTTACATGTATTATCGTGGTTAGTCCTGAAAGCAACTTGGGGGTGGGTACCATCAGCATCCTTTCTACAGATGGGGACACTGAGTACACAGCAAGTTTTTGTCCAGTCAAACACTCCACAGTGAGGTCATGCACAATTCTCAAGCAGAATCCAACTGCAGAGCCCACACTCCCAGCCCCATCATGAGTAGGGGGTCTGCCCATCTGAGGCTGATGTGTGTTCACCAGGGAACCAGGAGGGACTGGGGGAAAACTGCAGCACCTAATCCTTAGCGCCTCGCCACACCGCAGGCCACGCCCTTCTGACCTGCCCATTCCCCTACATGGAATCTAGGCAACACACAAATTCAGACTAAGATTTATTACTAAAATATTCAGCAAGAAGTTACCCCAGCCAGGTGCAGTGGCTCACGCTTGTAATCCCAGCACTTTGGGAGGCCGAGACCATTCTGGCTAACACTGTGAAACCCCGTCTCTACTAAAAATACAAAAAAATTAGCTGGGCCTGGTGGCGGGCGCCTGTAGTCCCAGCTACTAGGGAGGCTGAGGCAGGAGAATCACGTGAACCCGGGAGGCAGAGCTTGCAGTAAGCCTAGATCAAGCCACGGCACTCCAGCCTGGGTGACAGAGCGAGACTCTATCTCAAAAAATAAAAATAAAAAAGAAGTTACTCGTAGGCCGGACACAGTGGCTCACGCCTATAATCCCAGCACTTTGGGAGGCTGAGGCGGGTGGATGACCTGAGGTCGGGAGTTGGAGACCAGCCTGACGAACATGGAGAAACCCTGTCTCTACTAAAAATACAAAATTAGCCTGGGTGGTGGCACATGCCTTTAATCCCTGAAGGGGTGGCCTGCCCCTCCACACCTGTGGGTGTTTCTCATTAGGTGGAACGAGAGACTTGAGAAAAGAAGTAAGACACAGAGACAAAGTATAGAGAAAGAGAAAGTGGGCCCAGGGGACCGGCGCTCAGCTTACAGAGGACCCACAGAGGACCCACGCTGGCATCGGTCTCTGAGTTCCTTTAGTATTTATTGATAATTATCTTTACCATCTTAAAGATAAGGGAGTGGCAGGACAATAGGATCACTGTAGGGAGGAAATGGGCAGTAAGACATATGAACAAAAATCTCTGTGACATGAATAAGTTTAAAGGAAAATGCTGTGCCTTGAGATGCATTTGCAGAAACATCTCATAAACCTTTTGTATTATTGTTTCAGTCATCACATAGGGGAGAAACCTTGGACAATACTACGCTTTCCTAGGCAGAGGTCCCTGCTACCTTTGGCCGTGTACCTGTCCCTGGGTAGTTGAAATTAAGAGAATGGTGATGACTTTTACCCAGCAAGCTGCCTTCAGGCACTTGTTTAACAAAGACACATCCTGCACAGCCCAAAATCCATTCAACCCGAGTCACACAGCACATGTCTCTTGCAAGGACAAGGTTGAGGTAGAATCTGAATTAACAGCATCTCAAATACAGAACAAAATGGAGTCTCTTATGTCTATGTTTCCTATATAGACACAGTAACAACCTGATCTTTCTTTCTTTCCCCACATTTCCCCCTTTTCTTTCCAACAAAACCACCATTGCCATCATAGAAACACCAGTTACATACTTCACAAAGTAATAGAATATCACAAGGCAAGTGGAGGCAGGATGAGATCACAGGATGGCGTTAAAATTAAAATTAAAAATGAAATTTTGGGCATGCATAGTCATTGATAACATCTTATCAGAAAACAGGGTTTGAGAGCAGACAACCTGCCTGACCAAAATTTATTAGGTAGGAATTTCTCGTCCTAATAAGCCTGGGAGGAGCGCTACAGGAGGCAGGGCTTATTTCATCCTTCGGCTTCAACGTAAAGGCGGCCTCCTCCAGGGTGGTTTATAGGCCTACCCTCAGGTGCATTCTCTTTCTCAGAGATGTTCCTTGCTGAGAAAAAGAATTCAGCGATATTTCTCCCCTATTTGCATAAGAGAAGAAATGGCTCTGTTTCTAAGTCGCTCCCAGCAGCCAAGTTCAAGTTCCATCTCTTGTTCCTAGACATTTGCTGTTATCTTATTCTTTCTTTGAAGTGCCCAGTTTCATATTGTTCAAACACACATACTCCACACAAACAATTTGTGCAGTTTAGAAACCAATCATCACAGAGGTCCTGAAGTGACATACACCCTCCTCAGTTTGAAGATGATGGGTAGAGATTAAAGACAGACATAAGAAGTATAAAAGTATTAACTTTGGAGAACTAATAAATGTCCGTGAAATCTTCCACATTTTATGTTTTTCTGCAGTAGCTTCAGCCAGTCCTGCAATTCAAGTCCCTGACTTCCCATAGCGTTCTCCCTCCTTTTCCTCTATATAAACTGTGCCATGGCGATGAAGGCTTAATTACGTTCTCTCGATTTGACGCAGGATTCTTGACTAGTCCGGCACACTAAAGTAGCTTGATTCATGAGACACATAATTCCAAAATTTACTGCAGTAGAGTTCCCCAGGGCTTGTCCAAATCAGTGGAGTTTAATCCATAAGATTTTTGCCACTTGATCTAACGCCTCAGCTCTCCAGCACAATATTTAAGTGACTTTGAAATTCAAAAATTTGTTCTTTTAATTTAGAAATGTCTAAAGTGAGATTATCTTCTCTTCCTGTAGATGGTGTCAACATGTCTGATGATGTTTAGGACTCATTGTAACTTGGGAGTATAATACAAAATCCAGTATTCCCAGTCACACCTTAACTGGAAATGATGTTCCAAGCTCAGCAGTCTATCTCCCATCCAAATGACAGTTTGTCTAAGATCATTAATTTGATTTGCCAATTTTGATCGACACCAGATTGTGAATTCCCACAACCTTGTGGAAATTCTTTTTGTAATTAACCAGCAAAGCACTGTCTGAACAGAAGAGTGCAATGCAACTACTGCCACAGTGGCTGGCTGTGACTGTAATTAATCCCATAATCACTGCAATTAAAGTAAAAATGAATCTTTTGGATCTATTTAAAACACCTTTTAATACTTCAGTCAAAATATGGATGGATGGTGAGGCCTCCCATGGTCGGTCCATGGACACAGGGATCACCACGCCTTCTCTTGCTCTCACTAGCAGAATCTAGGTGCTGCACAATCAAAGTCAGAATCAAGCTCTGATAAACAATCTGCAATTTTCACAAGTTATAGTTTGGGAGTCTGGTTTAATAACTATATTTCCTAAGCTAACATAAAGGGAACTGCACAACTTTGTAAAGGAACTGTTGAACTAAATTTAGGTAGATAGAGTAAAATGGCTTATAATCTCTTGTTTCTATAGTTTGATTCCAGACCAAATTCTAAAAAGAGCGGTATGAAGCCACAGTAAGAAGTCTCATAATTCTGGATGTTCAGGACCAAAAACAGGACTTATCATTTTGGTCTTGGGTAGAATTCCCTTTTCTCCCCATATCCAAGGGTAGAAAGACTGTAATTTTTGTGCTTCTGTTTGTCTAAATTTTTCGTTAAGTCACTATCAACAGTTGGACTCACTAGTGCACTGGACAAAATTGAGTTTGTCCTGTGCAATTATGGTGAAATTGACCTCGGTGCCTAATCTATAACGTTTAAATGTATTGTTTTGTAATATCACTTCTTTTCTCGGCCACACATTCTTCCCAAACTAAATCTTTTGATTCTTTGGAAATCTCCTTGGGGCAAAGTTTCCTTTGGCTCAATTTTAATGATCTTTGATAAGAAAAAGTCTTGTACATAGTTTACTGGTTTGAGTGACATTTCCACTTACCATATGATAAGTAATCTACTGGTGGGACTGGCAGTGATGCTTCTACAGCAATTTTGAATAGCAGGCATTAAACATCCTGGTGCTCTCCTATAGGCAAATAGAATGCGATACAGTGGAAATATTTATCATCATTCCTCCGGTTTGGCAGGGCAACGATCATCTGTGGGACCAGGTACCCTGTATTAACGCCTTATGCTTCAATAGGATTATCCATCCATGTAACTGCCTGAATTAAGGGCGGGAAGAGCCTTTTTTATAGGCCCAGTAGGTATAATTAGCTGCAGCTGCTCTGCAGGCATGGGGAGAACTTACCACCGTTGATGCCGTGGTGAAGCTGTAAGCAGGATTTTTCTGGGGTTTGTGTCACCTTTGTGCTAGCTAAGGCTTTCCAGCTAACGGTGTCAGCTTCTTTAACTGTGCCCAGGTGCGGCAGCTCCACGCCCTAACCAGTGCGTGGTGACTTCATCTGTTCTTCTGATATCATCACTTGGACCATCATGTAAGTCAATGTGGTGCTTTCGATTGCGGTGTTTTCGTCTCCGTGGAAGCGCTTTTCTTCATCTCCGATGGGTTCATTTGTAAGCCAAAATGTTTAGTAGGTATCAAACAGGAAGCTGATTTTCTCCTGGTGAGCACAAACAAAACCTCTTCACAGGTTATCACCTTCCCTATTTCCCATGTCTTATTTTTGTTGTCTTTCCACCAAATCAGTTTCCTTCATGGACTGTTCTTTTTACCAGTAGGATGTTGTTCTGCAGAAGTAGTAGTCTGATTTCTATAAATGTTTAAAAAATTTAAAGTATAGAGTGCTAGATTAAGCTGCATCTGAGGAGTGGTACACTCGCACTCTCCCCCTTTTTTTGTTTAACTAACTGAGTTTTGAGTGTTCTATTAGTTCTTTCAACTATGGCCTGTCCTTGGGAATTATAAGGAATTCCTGTTGTATGTGTAATATTCCACTGATTTAAAATTTTTAGAAAACTTACTATAATAACTGGTCCATTGTCAGTTTTAATTTCTTCTGGAACTCCCATTACAGCAAAACAAGATAATAAGTGTTTTTAACATGGAAGTACTTTCTCCTGTCTGGCAGGTTGCCCATATGAAATGTGAATAAGTATCAACTGTTACATGAACATATGATAATTTTCCAAATGAAGGTACATGGGTAACATCCATTTGCCATAATGCATTGAGACACAGACCTCAGGATTAACTCCTGCCTCTTGGTGGGCAGGTGTGGTACTGTTACTGGAGTGCAGTGTTGTACAATATCTTTTGCCTGTTTCCATGTGACATCAAATTTGTTTTTTAACCCTGCTGCATTTACATGAGTCAAAGCATGAAGTTCTTGTGCTTTTGAGGCTGAGGATACCAATGATCAACATTCATTTGCTATAAAGGTCCTGGTAAATTAGTGTGTGCTCTAATATGAGTAATATAAAATGGGAAATTTCTTTTTCTTAGTTTGTTGTAACAAATTGAACAGCTGATTTAACTGATCATTTATACTATATTTAATTAGAGCTTCTCTCAACATCCCTTGTAGCC